CTGAGCTCAGACCCCGAGGGACCCTTCACACATCCCAGCCGGAAGGTCTGTGCTCAACAACCGCACCAACAGGGAAACAAACGTGCTCCCAGTGGACCCTCTGATTCAGCCGGGGCTGGGAACTTGGCAGCGAGCACAGAGCCTGATTAAAGGCATTCCGAGGCGCACTCGGTGTTTGTGTATCTGGTTCTGTATTTACACTTTGGGAACGAATGAGAAGGCAGCTGGGGAGTGTCTCACTCAGCCAGGGGGCTGGGTGACTCAGCCTGGAATCCTGCTGGCCACAAGCCTGTGATGCTTTCATTCATTCCCTCATTCATTCATTACTCCCTTTCTTGCTAAGCAGATGTGTGATGCAAACTTCCAGTGTCCCTGGCATGCTTCAGACTTTGGCTGGGCTCTCCTCACTGTGGAGCCTCCGTGGTCGGCATGGGGGCTGGCTGTGACGTAGGAGTGGGGCAGCAACAACATTAATAAGAATTAATGCACAGTGGACCAAAGATCTAAATGTAGGAGTTAAATCTATAAAATTCCTAGAAGGAAGCATAGGTGTAACTCTTTCTGGCCTTAGATTAGGTGACAGATTTTTAGATAAGACTAAAAGCACAAGCAACAAAAGAAAAATAGATTAATTGGACCTATCAGCATTAAAAATATGTGCATCAAAAGACTATCAAAAAAGTAAAAGGAACTCATAGAATGGGAGAAAATATTTGCAAACCATGTAGCTGATAAGGGATTAATATTCAGAATATATAAAGAACTCATGACTCAACATGAAAAAGATGGGGAAGTATAAGGAAACTAAATGGTAGTGGAAAAAAATACAATAAAGATTAAATTAAAAAATAGGAAAAAGACAAATAAACCCAGTTTAAAAATGGGCAAAGGGCTTGACAGACATTTCTCCAAAGATGATACACAAATGGCTGACAAGCCATGAAAAGGTTTTCAACATCACTAGTCACCAGGGAAATGCCAATCAAACCCACAATGAGATACCACGTCACACCCATCAGGATGGCTACTGTCAAAACAACAGAAACCAACAAGTATAGGCAAGGATGTGGAGAAGTTGGAATCTTTGTGTATTGCTGGTGGGAATGTAAAATGGTGCAGCCACTGTGGGAAGCAGTATGGCTGTTCCTCAGAAAATCAATTACAGAGTTACCATATGACCTAGCCATTCCAGTCTTAGGGATGTACCTAGAGATTTGAACAGGGACTCAAACAGATACTTGTACACCCATGTCCCCAGCAGCACTGTTTACAACTGCCAAAAGGTGAAAGCAGCCCAAGGGTCCATCAGTAGATGAAGGATAAATACAATGTGGCCCGTCCACACAATGGAACATTATTCAGCCACGAAAAGGAGTGAAGCACTAACACAGGCTGCAGCACGGAGATGAACCTGGAAAACATGCTGAGTGAGGGAAGCCAGACACGAAAGGCCACACAGTGTGTGATTCCATCCATGTGAAATGTGCAGAACAGGTAAACCCACAGAGACAGAAAGCAGCTTAGTGGTTGTCAGGGGACGTGGGAAGTGACTGCCAATGGGGATGGGATCCCCCTTTGGGGTGATGGAAGTGTTCTGGAACCAGGTAGAGGTGATGTTTGCACAACACTGTGAATGTACTAGATGACTAGATGACATTGCACTGTGTGTGTTAAAATGGTTTGTTTTGTGTTATGGGAATTTTGCTCCGATAAAAAAGAAGTTTAAAAAAGAGAGAGAAAAGCTTTCTCAGGCCTTCCTGGTTGGACACCTGCAAGCACAGCCATCTGCCCCGGAGTGCAGGTTTCCAGTCCTTTTCAAGAGCGGGTAAGGAGAGGAATGGGGAGAGACAGCATGGCTCATGGACACGTGACTTGAGTGGTCACCGCTGCCCCTCGCAGCCACAGGATGCAGTCTTGGGGCGTCCCAAGTCAGAGCTGGTGGCCCTTGGCCCTCTTCTTCTTGGAATGACTCTGCCCAGTGTGTTTGGTGCTGTCCACTGTAGCCTCAGTGAGATGTCCACAGCCATGCACATGCCACCTCCACTGAGCAGTGTGCGGGGAGGGCCCAGTGTGGGGAATGGAGTCCAGGAAGCGCTGTCTGCCCTCCTCCAACTCACTACCTGCCGCCCAGGCTGAAACTAGGGGTTCTTCTAGAGCCAAGCCTGGGAAGCAACCTGGAGGGACCCAGCCTGACAAACCGGATGCACACGCCTGCCAGAGAGTGGTGGCCCTGGGAAACCCACCAGGGCCTCTGCAAGACTCAGAATTAGATTTTTTCAAGGGCTTTTGGGGCTCCCTGCCAATGGCTGCTGAAACACTTAGAGAACCTGGTAAAGTCCCAGTCTCTCCCTCCCAAGGACACCCCCAAAGGTGGCTGGGGCCAGAGTGTGCAAATCCCCTCTGCCCCAAGTCCCAGTCAGCGCTCGGTCCTGAAAGCATCATGTGCTTGAGCTGGCTAGGTGACAGTGTGTGCTCTTCGCTTCCTCCTCATGGGTGGTTGTCAGGTTGAGCCCCAGACTGGGGACATGCTGCCTCTGCACTAGGACAGCCACCTGTTCTTCCTTGGGCCTCAGTTTCCTCAAGGTTGGGGTTAAGGGTCCCATGTGGGCACAGGTGAAACATGGTTCCTGCCTGGGATACTCAGCATGTCCAACTCTTGTTCCTGTGCTCAACATCACTAGTTGTCACTCATTCCCCATGTGTGCTGCACTCTTTCATTATGCCAGGGTCCTTATGGGGCCGACGGTCTGATGGGAGGAGACCTTTCTTGGGTAATTTTGGACAGTAAGCTCTGGGAGTGAGGTGCTCAGTGTTGGGCTAGCCTAGTGGAAGAGCCTCTTGGCGAAGGCAGCATCAGCGCAAAGGCCTCAAGGCAGCAACCATCTCAGTAGGAGACCGGTGGTGAGGAAGAGCAAAGGTCCAAACTGAAGCCTTTGTGGTGAGAAGGGAAGACTTGAGTCCCGCTCAGGGCACATGACTTCTCCCTGGCCTATCCCAGCTTTGCAGGACAGAGCTCAGCCTTCAGCACACTGGCTGTCCTTAAGCACATTAGAAGGCCCACCATTGCCATGGAGATTGCTGATGGGCCTGGGAGGGGCTGGCAGCTGGGGGTGTCACTCATCCTGTTGGCGCTGAGGTGTGGGGGGAAGGGGCTGAAGACTGGGTACTACCCTGGAGGAGTGGCTGCCTCCATCACACCACATCTTCCCAGAGCCACCGGCACCTGTTCCCTGCCCTTGTCCCCACTTTGTCCCTGTGGATGGTGCCAGGATGGGGGGAGGGGAATGTGCCCAGCAGGGCCGTGGGGCACTGACTGAAGCTGAGAAAGGGCACTTTGCTGGGTGATCCCACCCCTGTGACTGGAAAAGCTGCCATTTACACAAGGCTCTCTGCAGGGAGTCGGTGTTGCATGGGGACCTCGGAGAAGGACGTGGTGCATGGTGGGGCTTCGGCACAGGATGTGTGTGTGTGGCGGGGAGGGGGTAAGGGGCCCTACCTGGAAACAAAGGGGCCCAGGGCTGAGGTGAGGAAACTGGAGGGAAAAACTGGGCCAGAAGGGGGCTGTGACCCTCTGGGAGCACACGGTTCCTGAGAGACGGAAGCAGGGTAGGCTCCTGCAATGTGGCTCAGGCAGAAGAGGGCATGGCGTGGGTCTCGGGTCTGAGGTGACCTGTGAGGAGGAAGGGGTTGTCTCTCATGACTGTGGGGAGGGACACAGTGGGTTGTTCATGTTGGAGACAGACCTGGCCTGGGCCCCTCAGACGCTGAAAACCACCTGGGCAGGAACTGAGCAAGCAGGGCCTGCCTCTCTCCCAGCTCCACACAGCTTGCAGAAAACAGCTGTTTACCTGGGTGAGGTGCTCTGCTGGGCCGGTGGCCAGTTCCCGGGCTTCACTTTTCCTCCAGTGTCCAAGGCCCCCCAGGAAGCTGGGCCATCGTTGGGGAGCGGGCGGTGTAGGCGGCTGGCTGATGGAGGCTGCCAGGAGCTATTTGTGAGGGACCGCAAGTGGCCTTGTTGTGTATACAGAGTCGACCCTAGCAACCGCCCCAGCCAGGGGAGTGACACCACCCCTTCCTGCATGCCCGGCCACCGCCCCTCATTCATGACGCCACCCCCCCCCCGCACCCCCTCCCCCGCCCGCCCAACCCCTCCGCAGTGGTGTGATGGGCTGCAGGTGGTGCTGCCTGGGTCAGGGCATCTGCTGTCCTTCCCGAAAAGTGGAATCAGCTGCTTGAGGGAAAAGAGGCAGATGCCAGGCCAGGTCAGAGGCAGCCGTCGCCAGTCAGGGAGCCCTGAGCGTCTGAGAGGGGATGAGTTCCCAACTGAGTGATGGGCAGAGGACTCTGCAGGAACTCGGTCAGCCCAGATGAGAGCTGGGCTCAGCCCCGGTGAGGCAGAGGGACAGGCCGAAAGAGCCTGGAGCCTTGGGCAGGACCCTTGAACTCAGGCAGAGTCTGGCAGACCCGCTAGGCCTGTGTGTGCTGCCGGAGGGATCCACATCCTGCACTTTGAAAGCCAGCGCTACGCTTCTGAGCCGGCCCCTCTGATTCAGGCTATTGGAAAGAAGATTTCTCTTGTGTCCGGGCGTCAATTCGCAGCCTCTGGCTTGCGCCCCGGTAACAAAGCCTTTGGCCACGATGAGAAATAGCTCCCCTGGGTGGGTGAGGGGCCTCCTCCTCAGGCTGCAGTCTCCAGGCCTGTTCTATACTCTCACTCATTCACAAACCTGCTGTGTCAGCCAGCAAAGAGGGCTCCCCTGAGTTCACCAAGTCCTGGGAAGGACCTCCCAGGGCACCTTGAGTTTCTGAGTCTGCCATTTTGGGTGGAGGGACACCTGGCTCCTTTGAGAATCTGAGTCCTGGGCTCTTACAGCGCCTGTAACTGATGCCACTGATCGCACCACTTGGGTCCTTTCCAGATGCTTGGGGGTGGCACTCTGTGGGGTGTGCTGGGGAGGGCTCCCCAGCTCCCGCTGCAGCTGCTGATTTCTCTCTTGCAGCTCCAGCTCCAGAAGTCACAGTACCTGCAGCTGGGCCCAAGTCGCGGCCAGTACTATGGCGGGTCCCTGCCGAATGTGAACCAGATTGGGAGCGGCACTGTGGATCTGCCCTTCCAGGTGAACAACACCCTCCGCTCTCTTCCCACACTCCCTCCCTAGCGGAGCTTTCCCTGGCTTCCCACCCGGGGTGCATCCACTCTGGGCAAGCGTGTGTGCGTGATGACTGCTGCAGACAGCTGGGGTCAGCAGACAACTGCCACAGCCCTCCCGCCCCACACCCCCTACTCCTTTCCTGTCCCTGGGATGGCCTGGCCAGGCCTCGCCCAGATTCCCCCCAGCCAGTCCCCTGTCAGCATCAGCAGACCCCGCAGCAAGGCCTTAGTCTGGCCTCAAGCGTTTCAGCAGCCACTACACCTGTTGGCCGGCTGCGCGGCAGCGGGAACCGCTTAGGGCCTCTGGGGCTTGGCTCCATCAGCCTCACTAATCCGCAAGCCCAGCGGTTCTCAGAAGGAGGCCCCGAGGCCTGACCCCACTTGTCTGCAAAAGTTTCTTGGCAGAGACCCACACAGCATGGCTCCCGCAGCCACAGACCCGCCATGCACATCCTTATCATAAATAGTGAGAGGTGAGGCTCACCACCTGGGCGCAGTGCCAGCCTCTTTCCCCGGTCTGCAGGTAGAGGCAGAGGCAAGGTGGCCTGGGGAGCTGGGGCTGAGAGCTAGGCTACCCCCAACCAGCATGGTGTCTGCTCTGCAGGGACAAGTTCATGGACTGTCACACTTCCGTCCCATTGCTGAGACAGGGCCCCAGAAACAGCCATATCTGTCCGCATGCTGATAGGCCAGGTGCAACCCGGGCTGGTCCATCAAGGAGCTCAGCCTCAACACGAGTAACCCCCTATCTCCTGTTCCTCTCATGATACTGCCACTGGAATACAGCAGACCATTGAGCAGGGTCCCCCAGGCTGACTTGGGGTCTGCCCAGCTCAGCCTTGGGCCCCCGATCCATGGCCCTCCTCAGATAGCTGCCTCACTGGAACAAATGCATGGGGGTGTCAAGCTGACCTCTTCATCAGGGCACTTCTGAGTTGGGGTTCTGCCCCCGCCTCCCTGGCTCCCTCCTTCCTCTGTCTTTTTCTCCCCCCCCCCCTCCCTGGAGGAGGGCGTCTCTCTGAGCACTCTGAACTTGCCCTGCCTGGGCCAGCGTGGAGCCCCTAGGGCTGAGGGTACAGGCACCTGCTGGGGTCCCAGGGGATCAGGTGAGGTCAGAGCATCTCAGAGTCTCGGTTCTTTGCATTTCCAGCCCAGCGGATTTCTAGGAGATGCCCTGGCAGCAGCTCCTGTCTCTCTGGTAAATGAGCTCCTGGGCTAAGGCTTTTGGTGTCCCCAGTGTGGCTGCCCTCCTGGCCTGGTGGGAGGTGTCTGTCTGACAAACAGAAACTGATCTGCTCTGTACCCCCATGTCTGGGGAAGTGTGTGTGGTCATGTGGAGAGACCCCAACCCAAGAATTCAAGCATGCGCACCAATGCTTCATGGTTGTTCCTGTAATACACGCACATGTGTGTGCGCAGATCCCAGATGCAGCCTGGTGAGCTGAGCTGTGGCCAGGCTGAGCACCTCTCTGCCTCTGGCTCTGCTTCAGCCACGTTGGTTTTCCCTCTGCTTTCCAAGCATTTCTGAGAGGAGGCAAGTGGCCCCTACCCTCTGGTGTCCCTGCTGGATGGCAAGGTTCCCTCCCTCTCTTAGTTACAGCCCTCTCCCTAGTTGGCAGGGTGCTTGGTGGGTCCGAGAGAGACAGGGGTCCTAGACACTGGAGGAGCAGTTAGCCCTGAATGCCTGGTGAGGTGTTTGGGTACATGGGGAAGAGCAGGGTTCCAGCCATGGCAGAGGGAAATCACTTTTTACTCCACTTCCCACAGAAGACAGGAGGACCCAAGGACCATATGGCCATGCAAGGGGACAGGCTGTGTCCAGAGATGACTAAAGCTGCCAGTCTTACTGCAGTCATATGGCAAGGAGCCCCAGGGTGCCAGGGACAGCAGAGAGCAGGCTCCTGGGGGTTCTAGGGGCACAGAGATGGGGGAGGGACTGGGGTTTGGCCAGGAGTGCCTCATGCCAGCCCCAGGTGCTAGAAGGAAGCCCTATCTTGCCAAGCCATGGGCCAGGGCCCTGGAAAGTGCCTGCACTTGGCTCGTGGTGGTGCTGGGGTATGGTGGGGGAGGGCTCGGGAGGCTCTAGGTTGAGACCAGCCCCAGGCTCAACAAGGAGCCTCCAGGGAACCAGCACTTGGCCAGGTGGGCCCCTCAACATCCTCGGCTAGAAGCCCCAGGCTGTCTCTTGGCAGCCCCTCCAGGGATGACGTAGGCGGGAAGAGAAGGCCAGCCAGGCCCGAGAGAGAAGGCGGAGGCCTGTCTGCACCTGGTGAAGCTGAGAGGGGGAGGGTGCTGCTCAGGCCATCTGCACCCCTGGCACCCTGGCTGGCATCGGCCCTGAGCTTGTGCCGCTCTGCCTGGCCTGTGCATGTTGGCCTCACTGCACGCCTGCCGCCGTGGCGCCCGGGGTCCGCAGCTTGCCCCCATAGCCACAGTGCTCGAAGGCCAGGCACTGGTCGCAGGAGGAAACCTGTCCGGGGTGTTTTGGCAGTGGGGGGCCCTGAGGTTAGATCCTGGGGGCAGGCCACAGCTGATAACCATTTTGGGTTTCTCTCATTTTTTTCCGTCTCCTTCTCCCTATGCCGGCCCCACCCCTCCCCCAGACACCCTTCCAGTCCTCAGGCCTGGACACCAGCCGGACTACCCGGCACCATGGGCTGGTAGACAGAGTGTACCGGGAGCGCGGCCGGCTCGGCTCCCCACACCGCCGGCCCCTGTCGGTGGACAAACATGGACGGCAGATATCCTTTTCATAGAGGACTTGGGTGGGGGCGCTGGGCCCTGTGGGTGACTGCAGGACCTTGTGTTCATCAAACTAATGAAGCTACCAGCTCTGAGGATGGATCGGGGCCTCCCCAGTGGATTTCCCAGAGGGAGTAGTGAGGCAAGCTGAAGAGCCTGTGGCTAGGTGGGGACTGAGGGAATCAGAGAACAAGGATGCAGAGGTGGCCGCTGAAGCATACAGCCTGTGGTGAGAGTTGGGGAAGGTGACACTGGAATCACATCGCACTTGGATACCTGGCCGGACAGTGGGGCCCAGGAAGGCTGTGAGCAGGGTGACCACACATCAAGGCCATGTTGGTGGATACCTCCCAGGGCCACGTGGAGGACAGACCAGCCAAGGCAGTGGGGCTGAGGAGTCTGAGCCAGACCCAGACAGATCGACGGGAGACTCCATCTGAAGACACAAAACTCCCGTCTGCACATCGGCCAAGCAGAGGGATGGTCAGGAGTTCCCCCCAACTCAGCCACCTCTTGGTGCTCAGCCAGCCAGCCCCACCCCCGAGTCTAAGTGCTGCTCTGGGACCCCCTGCTTTCTAGAACAGAGAAGCCTGTTCTTTCCTGGTTCTCATTTCCGTGGCTGGGGGAGCCTGACCAGCTGGGCCCCAGACGGAGCCCTCAGGCCCCAGGATCCGCCCATCAGCCCAGAATTAAGAGTCATGACCTGGGTCATCTGAACTAGACTCCCCGCCGCCCCCATGGGCCCCCGGTTTCACGGCTGAGGCCCCTCTTGGAAGGGGTGCAGCCCGCACGTGCGCTCGCAGGGGGTGAGTGCTGAGTGCTAGGTGGATAGGGCCGCCCTTGGGGCCACTCACAGCCAGGAAGGAAAGGGCCCCCCCTTCCCGCCCTGCGGCCCCAGCTGTTTGCAGGCTCCCAGTAGCCTGGCCACCAGGTTTCTGGGGCTAGGGTGGGGCCTGAGTCAACAGCTCCGTCCCCTTAACTCACACTCAAGCGGACAGCTGCCCTTATGGTACTGTGTACCTCTCACCACCCTCGGATACCAGCTGGAGAAGGTCAGTGACCCAGAGCCAGCCCCCAGCCCCTCCTGAAAAACAAAACCAAACTTTCATCCTGGTTGTGCTTGGAAGACCAACACGTAGTCACTTTGAAATGACAAAATTAATTTTCCAGGAGTTCCTAGAAATCAACTCTATTTTTGTTTTTCAAGCAAAGTTGAGATTATATTGGGTAGTCAGTGTTGTAGCTTGCTTTTATTTAATGCTGTGGTTTCCCACATTGCTAACGGTCATGAGAATGTGGTATAAAAGTATCATACATTTATTGCTAGAAGACTAGGGAAATAAATAGATGAACCTAAAAGAGAAAAAAAACACCCATAATGCTATCATCTAGAAGGGTCTATAATAATAATAATGAATATAAATACCTACAGTGATGATTGGACAATGATGTGAATACAGTTAATGCCACAGAAGTATATACTTCAAAACAATGAAAATGGCCCTGGTTGGTGTGGTTCAGTGGACTGAGGAGCACTGGTCTGTGAACTGGAAGGTTGCTGGTTCAGTTCCTGGTCAGGACACATGCCTGGGTTGTGGGCTAGGTCCTTAGTGGGAGCTGTGTGAGAGGCAGCCAACCATCGATGTTTCTCTCCCTCTCTTTCTCCTTCCCCTCCCTTCTCGCTAAAAATGAATAAAAGTAAAATCTATTTAAAAATGTTTTAGTCTTGACTAGTGCCTCAGTGGATTGAGTGCTGGCCTATGAACCAAAATGTTGCTGGTTCGATTCCCAGTCAGAGCACATGCCTGGGTTGTAGGCCAGGTCTCCGGTTGGGGGCATGTGAGAGGCAACTGATCCATGTATCTCTCGCACAGTGCTGTTTTTCTCCCTCTTTTTCTCCTTCCCTTTCCCTCTCTCAAAGTAAGTAAATAAAATCTTTTAAAAAATTAAAAAGTAAAGTAAAATGATTAAAATGGTAAATTTTATGTTACACATACTTTACCACACACAGAAAATGTTTGTGTGATTTCAGTAAAAAAGACCAAAAGTAAGCAAACTTAAAAATATATATGTATATAATACAATATGTAATATGATATTTAATTCAATAACAAACTTCCACCAGGCACTTAATATATACCAGGCCCTATTCAACCATCATATACACTAACTGATACAAAACACAGCTTTGTGGAATACGTGTTGTTATCCTTCCCATTGTAGACATGGGAAATTAAGCACAGAACACTTGCTCAAAGACACACAGCTGGTGGGGGGCTAGGACCCTGACTGGTTCCTCACTGCTCAGCCCGCCCTGGCCTGATCCTTTGTAACCTGCTTTTCTCCCTTAACTAAGTTGACCTCACGTCACTTTTAGTGCTTGGGACATCCCCGTTGGGTGTGTGCGGCTCTTATTCTCATCCCCGAATTGCCAGCTGTGCTGATGGACCTGCCCTCCGCACGTCCACCCAGCTCCCCTTGGTCACCCATTGCGTCCTGGGCAGCCGAGGACTGTTTGGAACCCCTCCCTCCAGGCACTTGTAGCTGGGAGCAGATTGGGTGACCCTGTCCCTGGGGCAGAGGGAGAGCTCCTGGCACCATCGGGGCTGATTAGAACAAGATCCACCCTCCCCTCCAGGCCATTCTCTGATACCCTCCTTCCCACCCAGGGGCTGCCTTCTCTGAGCCTTATGTCACTGCCTCCTTTTCCTGCCTGTCAGACCTGGTTTGTAACAGTGTCCCAGAGGGTGGGCTTGTCCATTGGTGTTTGTCACCAAAGGGGACCCAGTGGTGGGCTAGGGGCTTGTAGTACCCATAAGCCTTGGCCACTGTGGGACTGTTGGGTCCCCTCTCCAAAGGGTTTCAGCAGGAAGGTTCTGTCCTTTCCCTAAACTGGGAGTGCATGGAGTGGGGGTGGGGGGATGGGGACAGATAGGGGCAGGTTACAACAGAGGGACATTTCTGCTGCAAACAGGGTTTGCATATGAAGCCAGGTCATGGTCACTCCTGTGGTTCCTCTGAGAACAATGTTCAGGGGCAGCAGCCCACAGAAATGACTTACGACTGCTGCCTCGTCCCATTGGGCACGTCCTGGATTACCCGGGGCCAGGAATGGCCCTTTGTCACTCTTGGGGCCCAGGCTTACTGTCTTTCTCCTCTCCCAGGACCAATTCTGACTCTGCCCTGCACCAGAGCACAATGACACCCACCCAGCCAGAGCCCTTTACAGGCGGGTCCCAGGACGCACACCAGAAAAGAGGTATGGGCCATGCGTGTCTGTCCTCAGGTCAGGCAAGTCCAATGATAGCCCCTGTGCTCCCAGAGGACACAGCTCATGGGAGGACAGACGTGCGGAGAAAGACTCAGTGAGTGCTATGGGACAAGGGGGGGGGGGCTCAGGGAATCTTTAGCGATGGCGTTATTTGTGTTGGATTTTGAAGAGTGTAGGAGTTTTCTAGGCAGAAAAAACACCTGCAAACACCTCTTGCCTTCTATTCATGGATTTGTCATGGCCACACAGTCTGGGGGCCTTGTAGTTTCTTTCAAATGTAGGGGGCAGCAAGGTCAAGCAAAAAGGGGCAAGTGTCTGCTCACCACTGAGCAGATCAGGGCTAGATGTTCAGCTTCAGATGCAGTTTGATACACGGCTTCACACTAGACCACGTCCTGGCTCTGCTGCTCGGAGCCCTCTTGCCCAGATCCTCCTCTCCAAAAGGGCCAAGTACATAGCCCTGCAGCCGGGCAGGTCTGTGCCCAGGCCCCCAGCCCCTCCTGAGAGCTGACCACTGGCAGTGTCCCTGGGACCTTCCAGGAGAGCACATGCCATTTTAAAACTGGGGCAGCATCATCCAGGGAGGGGAGCATGATGCTGTGAGGCCAGTCCCAGGAACCCTTTATAGGGCCTTGCCTGCCCCAAGACACTGAAACCAGAGAATTAATTACATATAGTTAAGGCCCAAATATTCACTTTTTATCAGCTCAACGGGCAAGCCTGTAAACACCAGGAAGAGTATACTGATAAAAGGATTGTTCACCAGAACTTTACCCCTTGTGGGGTGGTCGGCCGGGGGGCTCTCTTTGCACTCCCTCTTCCTGGGACCCTAGCCCATCAGGCAGTGAGGATGAGATTACAGAAGGAACTGCCTGCGTAATAACAGGATTCTAAATGTTCAGAGGTGACAAGGACGTTTGGCCATCTCCCTGGTGGGTCTCCCAAGAATGGGGGCTTTTGGAGTAGGCAGGACTCTATGCGACTGTGGAAGGGAGCTGCAGGCCTTGAACCCCTGACAGCTGAGTCTAGTTGGCCTTGGGGTGGGGGTAGCGGATATATGTCACCTGTCCCCATTCCTCTAGGAGGGGCCCAGACAGTGATAGGATCAGGGGTTCTGTGGCTGCCCTCCCACCCCTCAGCCTGGCCCCTCCAGGTTTCAAGGAGTTGCTAACCCATCTGGCTCTGTTCATTATGTCTGTGTTGCCAGTGGAAAAACTGGACCTCCAACAGGCATGAAGAAATTGGGTCTCATCAAGAAGATGTTTAATCTCACTGATACCAGAAGGTCCAAGCAAAGGGGACTTCAGGCAAAGCTGGTTTCATGTCCTTAGGTGATGGCCATCCAGCTTCTCAGACCTTCCCTCCCCTCCCGCCCCCTCTTGGGCTGGCTGGCATTGCAGCTAACTCATGGGGCCACAGCTTCCATGGTGGATCCACCCAACCCGGCCGATACTGGGTGATGTGACACTGTGCCGGTGGCCCAAGAGGGAGAAGCAGGTGTCCACAGCGCAGTGGCCATTCACAGGAGGCAGGGAGAGTTTCTCAGCTATTTTCTGTGGCCCTAGGCCTCCAAAGCCTGAGTTGGTCCAGTTGGGAGGCTGAGTTGATGCATCTCCTTATTTCTAGAGCTTAAGTCACAGGTTTCCTGACTTACTTTTTTTAGGGTTGTTTTTTTTTTTTTTAATGAAACCCTTTTTGTACTTGAGTACAATCCCCAGAAGTCACTGTATGTCAGGGAAGTGCCCTCCTGGTACCAACGGGGAGCTGCAGAAAATGCCTTTTCTGACTCTCCTCCCCACATCCTACCCCAGTCTTACTACTAGCTGTCCCGGGAATGGAGGAGACCACGTCGGAAACGGACAAGAACCTTTCCAAGCAAGCATGGGACACCAAGAAGGTAAGAGCCTACGGGCTTTCCAAAAGTGGTTTCTTTCTTGATCTTTTTTTAAGTACAGCTGGGCAAAGATGAAAAAACATATTGGAGGAGCTTCATTCTCCCTGAAGTAAAACCCTAGCTCAGATTTGACTGCTTGTGTCAGCCGATTTAACACGAACACAGGCCTGTTACACTTGTAAAAGCATGTGAAGAATCGAATTTAAACCCGTGCTTGCTACTACAGCACATACACTAACAATGGACAATGCAGGAATTAGGATGGCCCCTGCACAAGGATGAGACAAGGACAGCAGGGTCCCTGCCTGCACCTGAATGTGGTGCTGCCATAGAGAAAGAGAAGGTAGTGAGTGCTAGGGAAACAGCCTGACCTCCTAGGGGTGCGAAGAGGGTGGGAGAGCCTTGCATCCTGGTGAGACTCCTTTTAACTACTGTGCCAAACGATGTGTGCCTCTGTGAGGATGTCCGTGTAGGGTGTAGGGATTTCGTTGGATTTGTTCGGGGCGGCCGGGGGCCATGGGTGAATGCTTAATACTGTTCATGTGGAATGCTTTTGAAAAGATTCTTTGGAAAGTCATTGTCAAGGTGCTTTGCAAAAATCCGGTAATGGAGCGAATGTTTACTCCCAGAATTAAGCAGCCGGTGGCCAGGTAGACACGCTCCTTCCACCCTAGTTCCGCAAGGCCTGCTGGTCACGGGGCCCCTTCAGGCGCCCCAGTCACTGCCAGTCAGGCATTCCCCCCTCACTGGGTGTGTGTGCTGGCTGGCCCAGCCCTCCCCAGTGAGTGAGCGTTCTCGTCTGATAATCCCTAAAGAACACATCAGCAGGAGTGTCTACCTGAGGGCCCCAGAGGCAGGCAGGAATTAGGGAACGTGACACAGCGGAGCCCCTGTCAGCACACAGGCTTTGTCCTGTCATGTTTGCTGCCATAGGAAGAGAGTTCCCTGCTTTGTCTTTGAATGAGAGTCTAGGGGCTTGGCCTGGAGCCTGCAGATCTCCAGTGGCGATAACATCTCCGGCTGAGAGGAAAAACCAGGGTCTTATTGCCGACAAGGTTTCCCTGGGACCCCTTCTCCTGGGCCAGCCTACTGGGTGGTCAGGGTTCCATTTTTCAAGCAGTGGAGTGCTGGGGTCCTCATGGGAGTCACAGTTCTGGGCACCGCAGGAAGGAGGGTCAGCTCGGGCAGAGCAGCAGCCTGTTTGTGTTTGGGGCAACCAGTCCAAGCTGCCTCAGGCGTCTCCACACGATGTCCTTTCTAGGGGTGTACAGGCAGATGCTGAGCAGAGACAGTCCCTGCCCTGGTGCCACCCCTCCTCCCCGCCCTGATCCAGGAATGTATGAGGGGTTAGCCTTTGCCACACAGGTTTCCAGTGGGCCTGCGCCAGAGCTGGTTGCTGACAGCCCGGGCATAGCCCTGAGGGGTTGAGATGCAAAGAGCAGGCTACATGATTCCCTCTAGATAGTGGCTCTGACAAGGCACCACGTCAGCCCTGGACTGTGGCCACCTTACCAGGCGGACAGAGTGAAGCCAGGAGGGGCTGTGGGAAACCCTTTCTTCTTAACTCTTGGTTTTGCTCCTGGGCATGTCTGGAGCACCCCTCCCATCTCACAGGGACATTCTTCATCTGCAAGACTCCCTGGGACCCCGTAAACTTGTCTCTCCTTGAGTGTCACTAGGCCCTCTTGGGGAGATCAGCCATTCTGTGAGGAGGCTGCCAGCCTCTGCCATCTTCTCTTTCAGACAGGGTCCAGGCCCAAGTCCTGCGAGGTCCCTGGAATCAAGTAAGTCACAGTGGGACCTGCCCTGCATGCCTATGGCCACCAGGGGCTGCTCGGACAACCTCCCCCTCCCCCATACCACCCGCCGCCCCCACGCCCAGCTCCCAGCTCCCACCTGCTCACTAGGCTGCAAGTCTAGGCAAGAGGGATGCCGAGCCGCTGGCAGCCACCCAGCAAGGCTTGCTATGGAGGATGCTCCCATCCCTTAGACACACCCTGTCCCCAGGCAGCAGGAAGACCCTCATCCCATCCCCTGTCCCTGCAGGGGTAGGCTGCTTCCTAAGGTCCCATTGGTGGTTTGGACTAATGGTTGCTTCTCAAACATAGCAGCATTTAATCGCAGGATGTCATTTTGTACCTGCTAGGGGTTTTTTTTTGTTTTGTTCTGTTTTTGCAAGCCCCTTCCCATTGCCACCACAGATTCTGGGGAACTGGCAGCCACAATTCAAGAGCTCAACCCCCCTATGTCTGGCCTTTTCCCAGCATCTTTCCATCTGCTGATCAGGAAAACACTACAGCCCTGATCCCTGCTGCCCACAACACTGGGGGTTCCCTGCCTGACCTGACCAACATCCACTTCCCTTCCCCGCTCCCAACCCCGCTGGACCCTGAGGAGCCCACCTTCCCTGCGCTCAGCAGTTCCAGCAGCACCGGCAACCTCACTGCCAACCTGACGCACCTGGGCATCGGTGGCACTGGCCAGGGTAAGGCTGGGTGGGTGAGCACACTTTCTTCCCTGGCAGAGCTCACTGTTTAGCAAGGACAGCATGTGTGTGTGTGTGTGTGTGCGCGCGCGCGCGTGCGTGCATGTGTAAAGTGACCGAGCAGGGTCACTTCTAAAGTTCCAGGCATAGAATGGGAGCAGAGCCCAGCATGGGGGCTTGATGTTACCAGGCTGCCCCGAGGGGAGCCGTGTCCAGGCAGAGGGCAAAGCCTGGGCAAATGCCCAGTGGTGGGAAGGCTCATGGTGCCCTCAGGGATGGAACAGTGGTTCTGAGGGGGGCTGGGGCTTCAGAAAGTGGGGTGGGCCAGGCTTTCCCTTCCCCTAGCTGACTGTGGATGCATGCTTGGGACTCTTCAGCCTGACCCCCTCCCCACACTCCACACTCATTTCTCCCTGGTCATGTCTTCAGGGACAACCCTTGGGGCTCTTGTCCATCCCAGTATCTCCTAGCACCACCCCACCCTGTTCCTCCTAGAGCCCAACAGCATCGTCCCGCTGCAGCACAGGCCAGGAACCTGGAGATGTTCTCCTCTCTCCCCCTGTCCTCTTGCCCACCCTGACCCATTGGCATGTCTTACTGGCCCCACCATTAGGACCCAGCCCAGCTTGGACCGTCCTCACCCATCACAGCCTCCACCTGCTGCCATCCCCCTTTTCCCAGTCCCCACCTCTTCTCCACCCAGCACAGCTGTCAGCTCATGACCCTCCTCTGCCTGGGACCTTGCAAAGCCCCTCATCTCCCACCCCCTACGCCTGCTGGGCTCCCCTTGGGGCCTTTGTACACGCTGCCCCCCGCCACGCTGCCATGGTCCTCTTCTTCCCGGAGGCGGCAGGGCCCCCTCACCCGTCCCATCTCTGCGCACGCCTCCTCCCCGCAGTGAGGCCTCCTGGCCTCTGCCTGCACCTTCCACCTGGCCTCTCACACAGACTTGCTTTTCTGTGCTCACCTTGTTACTACTTTGTTCTCACCTGTCCCCTGGACTGGGCCTCTCTTGCGACCCCACTGTGACCTCTGCACCAAGTTAACTGTGGGGCTCGTGAGTTTGCATTCACGGAGGAGAGAGGGTGGTCCCCAGCAGTCCTGGTGGTGGGATGAGCCGGAGGGGCCCAGGGGGCCTCTCTGTGAGCCCGTAGGTACCGGGACTCAGTGGTCAATGGGAGCCCTACTTCGTGTTTCCTTTATGTTGTCCAGGGCCGCAGAACAGCCAGTGCTCACCTGTTCATCACTTCGAGTGTGGTGGGCAGCGCCATGCAGTGTTTTCTGAAAGAATCACACGCTTAAAGTCGTATTTGGTGCAGTCCTGAGGGGACGCAGCCTCTGGACCAGGGCAGGACCCCATCAGACACTCTGCAGAGAGGTTTCCAGGGAAAATTGGCTTGGGAGCCAGGTTGATGCAGGGAGTGGAGGAGAGTCAGTCCTGGCTGCGGTGCCCACATGGCCTGGGAAAGTGAGGTGTGTTCAGGACAGCACCATGTTCCCAGGTTGTTAGACGAGGGGGTGGAGGCCAGCCAATGGAGAGGGGGGTGGGACTCTAGCCTGACGATGTTGAGGTTGGGTTGTGTTCTTCCTTCCACACTCCTGGCCCTATCCCCATCCAGACTTAACCATGGAGCAGAGGGCACCAGCCCAGCTGTGCCCCCCAGGGACGACCCAAATACAAATGAGATTCAGGGAAGCCTGAGACCCATGACCCCTAGAGACCAGTGGGTGATAGTGCAAGCATTGGCCTAGGCGAAGGAAGAAGTTGGAAGGTCCGCTCTGGGGCTGGAGCCCCCCACCTTTCACTGGCTGGTGCTGACACTGCAGTTTCCTGGCCCCATTTTTTCCCCATTTCTGGCTACAGTCTCAAGAGCATCACCCCCTCCACCCGAGGGTCCTTGGCAGCCCCCCAGCACACGCTGGGAGCGGTGTACTTCCAACCTGAGCAGAGTCTAAACAAGAACATGTGAAAGCTGCAGCCCCCAAGTTGGGGGGCGGGTGGGAGGAGATTCCCAGGGGTTGGGGGGGGCGGACCCCAGCCACCTGGCTCCAGTATCTGCTGGTGATGTCTGACATCTGTTGAGTTGTTTTCGAACCTGCAGCACCAGCGGCTCACCTGGCAGGAGCTTTGCTTTCCAGGCGCATTTTAAATCAAGCCCAGCCTCAGCCTCTGGCACATGTGGAGATTGTTCCCCACCCAGCCCTCCTGCCAGTCAGAACATGAGGCTTAGAGGAAGAAGAGGCCTTCCCACCGGGGAGACAGCGGCCCCTCTTGTCCCTTTCCACATTTGCTAAAGTCGTTTCCCTGACTTCGCTGGGACCAGGGAGGACAACAGGCCTGGGTCCTCCTTCCTGGCTCTGCTTTGCACCCGGCTGCCCCCACGCTCAGGCCTTACGTGCCTTGGGCCAGGCCCCTGCCACCTGGCCCATCCTCCCCTGGCAGCTCTCCCTGCCTGCCCAGACTTTTCTTCCAGCTGGCCCCACTCCTTTTCCCAAAGGTGATCCAGGTTGCCAAAAGGAATTCAACAGCAAGGCATTCGTCCACCCTCCCGGCCCCCATGTGAGGCCGGGAGCTCACTCTGCAATCCAGCGGGGGATTCAAAAACGCCTTTGTATTCAGGGCAGATGTTAGAAGCTGGCAGCCCAAGTGCCAAATTCAGCCCAATGGTGTGTTTTGTCTGGCCCACAACTGTGTGCGTGATGCTTTGAATAGACGCTTAAACATCAGGAGAGTGCATGTAAAAATCTGGATTTCTGGCTTCTCTTGAATCAGAAGGCCTAGCAGCAGTGGGTCAAGGTCCTGTGCCTCAAGATGTGCCAGAGCACGCCTGTTTGCCATAGGCCCACCTGTCCCTGTCACCCCACTGTTCCTTTCACTCCTGCCATTTGACTCTGCTGCTTACTGAACCCTGACATCTGCTCTCTGGATGTCACATGTTCCTCAGCCTGCTGGACCTATGAAGTATTGCATGCTTCCAGAAGATGAGAGAACAGCCCAGGTTACCCACTCCAAGTGTGCTCTGAGTAGGTGTCTCCTGGACTTCTGTCCAGGCCTCTTGACTGTGCTCCCTTGATACTGCTGTCATAGCAGCCTGATTCTGGGGCCCAGTGTCTGTGCAGAAATTGGATCCCTGGGCCCTGCCTCAGGAGCAGTCAACAGCATCGCTGCTTCCCCGCCCGCCCGCCCCCCCCGCCCGCCGCCGCCCCGCAATGCTTAGCCAAGATGAGCCACCAGGGCATCCAAGGGGAAGTGCAGGCGTGACCGGGCTTGCCTCACATGGATGACGCAGTGAGCAGCTGCCCTGGGCAGAGAATAGGCTGCCTGTCATCTCCCTCAGTGCATACTGGGTACATTCCCACTGGCCCATGAACCTGTCATCTTACCTGCTCGAACAAGGTTGATCTGGTGCCCTGGCAGGATGGGTCCAGCTCTCCTGGGTGAGTTAGGCACCTTCACCAGCCTTGCCTGTGGGCCAGACTCCAGAGCTAGCTCACAACCTCATTAGGGCCTCACAGTTAACTGGCAAGGATGGCTGATATCATCACCTCAAGGACAAGGAAACAGAGCCTGGAGGATTATCCAGGCCCTCAGGGCTCTCCCTGGCATCAGGGGGCCTGGTGCCTCCCTGGCACAGTGCCCCAGGATAACCTGACAGGCCCCAACTGCTACCACACTGAACTTGACCTCACTCAGCTCCTTCACAACAGATGTATCCAGGGATCAGATTGCTGGGGGAGGGGCTCAAGGGGAGGGAAGGGACAATGTGGAGTCCCTGGCAGGAGCTCCATCAGAAATGAGGGTTTGGGAAGAAGATAAAGAATAACTGAGTTTCTAGGTTAGGCATCCCAGCGAGTTTGATGCTCTAGCATGAAGAATACACAGGTGGGGGGAGAAGGACTGAAAGTGAGATAGGAGAGAGAGGGGCTTCCAGTTACACAGGTCCAGGGCTGAGAGACCTGGCCAAAGGAGCAGTTCTGGGAACGGACATGTACATTGAATGAAGGTCAAGGGGAAACTACAGTGTCAGACAGGACTGACTTGCTTGAAGCAAACCAAAACCCAAGCCAGTTTAGGAAAAAAACATTGATTGTCTCCAGAAGAGAGGAAACACCAGTGTAGCTACATCCAGGGCTTAGGTGCTGCCTCTCCCATCTCATTCTTCCACTGATCCTTCCTGTTCCAGCCAAAGGATCCTCCCCTCCCCCCGCCCCCCAACACACACACACACACACACACACACACACACACACACACACCCACCCACCCACCCACCCACCCACCCCCCCTCAACCTCTGGCCTTTTTTGAAGTTCCATCTAGAGTCCCAGAGTAGTCTCTCATTTGGACCAGCTTGGTCACATGTCCATCCAAGGGCCAGTCGTTTGGCAGTCCAGAGATGGGGAAGTTCTCCCTGGCAGGGCCTGCAGTACATGCCCTTCCTGGATGGATGGCAAGATCAGTTTGGAGATCTGGTCCTCATGGGATTCCAGAAGAAGAACAGAGACCGCACAAGAGCTGAGGGCTCAAAGGTCAAGGTATCAGGACCTTGGAGGGGGAAGGTACCCTGGGTTTGGCGATCAGAATATGCCCACTGGCTTCTGTCTTAACGATTGAGCTGTCCCCAGCAGTGACTGTGGATGTATGAGTGGCCCTTTGGAGGCTGGAATTATGCCCACCCTTCCTTCCTTCCAGGGATGAGTACTCCAGGCTCCTCACCGCAGCACCGTCCGGCTGGCATCAGCCCACTGTCCCTGAGCTCGGAGGCACGGCGGCAGCAGGCCCAGCAAGTGTCGCCCACCCTCTCCCCGCTGTCACCCATCACTCAGGTGCGAGAGCATAGTGGGGCGGGGGGCAGCCCAGCTCTGCCTCTCTAGGAGGCCTCCTGCTCCTTCCAGAGGGGCCATAGAAATAGCCCAGCATTTTTGGCTTTTTGTCAACTTTTCAAGCACATGGGAAGTTCATTATTAATCAGTGGCCTGGAACCCCCTGTGACATCACGGGCTGTTCCATGTTAGCTCTTGCCATGTGAGTGAGCATGCTTCATTATTCTCTTTAGGATCTAATTGAAATTTTTCAAAATAAAGTTTTGTTTATTTTTACTTAAAAATTTTTTTTATTTATTGATTTTGAGAGAGAGGAAGGGAGAAAGAGAAAGAGAAACATTGACTTGCTGTTCCACATATGCATTCAATGGTTGATTCTTGTATGTGCCCTGACCTAGGACTGAATCCGCAACCTTGGTGTATGGGGATGACGTTCTAACTAACTGAACTACCCAGTCAGGGCCAAAATAAAATTTTAGAAAGCTTGCTTATTCAATTTACTGTAATTTTGCTTTATCTGCTTTTTTGGTAGTTGTGTATGTCTGGGAATTGGTCTGTTTCATCTAGGTCATACAGTGAGCTGGTGTACAACTGTTCATAGGACTAGTACTCTCTCATAATCCTTTTATTTCTGTAAAGTTGGTAGTAATGTCCCCACTTTCATTTCCAGTTGCAGTAATTTGATTCTTCTCTTTGCTTAGTCAGTTGACGTCCATAGAACGAGTTAGGAAGCATTCTTTTGTTTTTTGGAAGAGTTTGAGAAGCATTGGTGTTCATTCTTTTTGTTGTTGATAAAGATTTCATTTATATATTTTTAAGAAGGAGACGGAAAGAAAAGGGAGAGAAACATTGATGTGCAAGAGACATGTCGATCGATTGCCTCTTGCATGCCCCCAACTGGGGACCTGGCTTGCAACCCAGGCACATGTCCTGACCAGGGATCAAACCTGTGACCTTTATGTTTGTGGGGAAACGCTCAACCCACTGAGCTACACCAGTCATGGTGGTGTTAACTCTTTAAATGTTTGGTAGAATTCACTAGTGAAGCCACCCAGTCCGAGCTTTTGCTTACTGGGAGGTTTGTGATTACTAATTCAACATCCTGACGTGATATAGATCTGTTCAGATTTTCTATTTCTTCTTGGGTCAGTTTTGGTAGTTTATGCGTTTCTAGGAATTTGTCCATTTTGGCTATTTTGTAAAAATCCCTGACAGATAATACTTTTGCCCTTTTTTCTTTTAACATAACCTTAATGGCATCATCCACTTATAACAAAATTAAGTCATTTCTTTACACATTTTGCTGCCTGTTCTGAGGCTGGTTCCCCCCCGTGTCTGCTTGTACAATGGTCTTGTTCAGATCAAGATCAAGACAAAGTCACGGTGGTTTCTGGCAGTTGCATCACTCCATCTGTGACCCCTGCCCCCTCTCCCCACCCCTGGTCTCTTAGGCCTGCTTTCCTTTTCTGGAAAGTGCTTTCTGATCACTAACTAACCAATTATTAGAGATTAGGCATCTGCTAAGCCCTGGGGCATGTACTGCCTCCAACACAGGGCAGGAGTCCCTCTGTTCTAGAGACTCTCCCCACGGACTCATGATCGTTGAAAACTCCCTCTGCTTATCTTCCTACTTCCAATTCTGAGGAGACTTGAGCTGGTCCTCACCAAGTGGCTACACCAGTGTGCCTTCCTCACCAGCACCCTCTCTGACCTCTCCAGGTGGGCCGGGCTGCAGGGTGGCAGTGGGGGGTCCCTTCCCCTCCTCCAGGGGGTAGGCGTTGGCCATCCACTATGCTACTGGAGTGTCATACCTGGTGCCTGGCTGCAGTGGAGAAACTTCAGCTCAGAGGCCAGGACTTCCTGAGCCTGAGGGAGTACAGAAGGTTGTGCCACCTCTTGGTGTATGGTGAGGGTGAAAGACACCCTGGTGGGTATGGCTCAGTGGACGGAGTGCCAACCAGCAAACCAAAAGGTCGCCAGTTCAATTCCCAGCCAGGGCACATGCCTGGGTTGCAGGCCAGGTCCCTAGTTGGGGGTGTGCAAAAGGTAACCACACATTGACATTTCTCTCCCTCTCTTTCTCCGTCCCTTCCCCTCTCTCTAAAAATAAATAAAATCTTTAAAAAAAAAAAAGAAAGAAAGAAAAGAAAGGCTGGTTGGGGGCAGGGTGCAGCGAGCTGGATTAGATGCCTGTCCTGTCCAGCTGCAGCCTGACCCTCATGGCCCTGGGCCAGTCCCTCTCTAGGCTTGTGCTTCCTGGATGCAGCGTATAGACATCCCTTTGTTCAGCCATCATGTTGCTGAGCTTTGCGCTGTGGGAGTCCCCACTGCTGACACCTGAGCCTGATACCCTGCTCTCCCCACAGGCTGTGGCCATGGACGCCCTGTCTCTGGAGCAGCAGCTGCCCTACGCCTTTTTCACCCAGGCGGGCTCCCAGCAGTCGACTCCACCACAGCCCCAGCCCCCGCCGCCCCCACCACCTGCATCTCAGCAGCAGCCACCCCCGCCACCTCCGCAGGTGCCCGTTGGCCTCCCCCCGGGCAGCCCCCTGATGCCGAGTGCCAGCCTGACACGGGGGCCCCAGCTGCCTCCACTCACGGTCACGGTACCATCCTCTCTCCCCCAGTCCCCCCCAGACAACCCAGGCCAGCCGCCAATGGGGATCGACATTGCCTCGGTAAGCCTGGGAGAGGGTCCTCGGGGACTGGCTCTGGAATCATGCAGGAGGAGCCTGGGGCTGGGGGAGGCTCCTTTGGGCACCCAGGGCCCAAGGATAGTTAGGCACCCAGCTGCATCTTCAGCTGCCTCAAGGCTCCACTTGGAAGCCAGTTTAACAGGATTTGGGGCTGAAGCAGATAGGCACTGCTGGGAGCCGGGTGTCCAGTGAAGTTTTTGCCTAGAATTCTCAAGCCAAGGTTGTCACCCTGGGGAAACTAAGACACAAACAAGGGTCAGTGCCCTGAACTTTGCCCAAGATGAGCTACCCATGTCTGGCTGCCAAGCCATCCCCCATGGCCCTTGATACTTGCTCCTCCCCACCCTTTGCATCCAAAGAGGGGCTTCCCTGGGGTCAGGGAGAGCATAGTTTTCAGGGCCTGGGGAAAGGACATCTGGGAGCCAAAGGAGATAGAGGTGAACTTGGAGGGGAGAAAGGGATACAGCACAGTGCCTGAGTCAAGGGCTTCACCTCAGACCCTGAGACCCCCCTGCCTGGGTCAGGGGCTACAGCTCAATTACAGGACAGGACCCCATACCTGAGGTCCAGGGCTCACAACATGGGACCCGCTTTCCTGGTCTGGGGTGGGGCGGGGGCGGGCGAGGGTGCTGTGGCTCAAACCATGGAACCTCCTGCCCAGGCCAGGGACTGCAGCTCAGACCATGGAAGACCCTCCCTAGTCTGGGCTCAGGGTAATGAGTGCTAGGTTTTTACCTCTGCAGTTCTAAAGCTTTCTGATTGTTCAGACCCTGGTGGGGAGTGGAGGGGGAGGGGAAGGCGTTGCTCCCTTTAGCCACATCCAGTGGAACAGAGGCCCACGTTTGGAGCACAGTGCCCTCCTCACTCAACCCTCAGCTACCAGCCACAGGATAAATGCCTTCTGAGCATCATGTGCTCTGCAAAGAATAGACCCCCTGAACTGATGGGGCGATGGGGCAAGCAAGGTCCTAAGAGTAGAGACCCACGTTCCCAAGCTGCTCCAGCCCCTTGGTGAGCAGACACACCCACACACAGGAAAGCGCCCAGGCCTTTTCTTTGGCATTAACACAGTAGGTGTAGGAGCAGCTCTGATGCTAGGGCTGGCCTGGGCACCCGGTTCCCCAACACCCTCCTGCCGCAGGATCTGACTTTGAAGCTGAGTGGACGTTGAAGGCAGAGGTATTTGAGCCAGGTATGGACATAGCTCCTCCCCAGGCTCCCAGATCAGGAAGTATATTGCCTGGCACCGCTCAGGGACTGCTGGCTCTGACTCCCTCGGGGCACAGGCAGTCTCCTCCAGAGTTTCCGCAGGCTCTCCCAGGCAAGGAGAACATCTTCAGCAAGTGGCCACACTGGTGCCACCCACACCCTGTTATTTGAGGTCCCGTGCCCCTCCCAGGATCAACCCCTTTCACAAACTGCTCCGAACAGGCCCCTAAGGGAATGGGAGACTGATCACTTTTGGGACCCTGGACCAGCTGTCTGGACCTCAGTGAACAGCAGGCTCAGAGAGGTCAGGCAGGGTTTAAATCCAGGGCCAGGCCTAGCCTGTTTCATCCGTGGTGAGAAGCCAGGGTCCTCGGCCTTTGAACAAAGAAGTGGCCACCCCTCTGAGGTCTCTGGATAGCGTGACCTCATCAGGCTTGTCCTAAACCAGGACAGTGATAGTGGCTGCTTGGTGCTGAGAGCCCTGCTGTCAGGGCTACCACCTTGAGGTGGGAGGGACACGCCAGTGCAGATTTGGACTGATAGAGCCGGGGACCCACCCAGAGTCGGGAGTGAGAGGAAGCGCCTGCCTACCCAGCCCTAGGCCATCCCTGCCTGTGAGTGCATGAGTGCGCATGTGTGTGGTATGGGTGTTTGAATCCTGCCGAGTTGAGGTGGACCCCTCCCACAGCCCTCTAGAGCAACTCCAGGAGGCTGAGTTCCAGGTTCTCTGACTACAGTCCCCGCCCCTGGGAGCTGGGTTTGGAGACAGGTCTCCATGAGGCCCTGGGCTCTGCGCCTAGGTCCTCTGCTCACTGAGGGGTGGCGACCTTGGGGGCTCAGCGGGCAGCTGGACCGGGGCCCCCGCGTCCTGACCTGTCTGTCATTGCAGGCCCCGGCTCTGCAGCAGTACCGCACTAGTGCCGGCACCCCAGCCAACCAGTCTCCCACTTCACCTGTCTCCAATCAAGGCTTCTCCCCTGGGAGCTCCCCACAAGTAAGGGTGCCACCAGCCTGTGCCCCAGCCTTGCCTCGCACCCCTGCCCGCCATTTGTGCCTCATGCCTCACGTCATCTCATCTCGTCCGCTCCACAGGGCTGGGAGGATGAGGCGCCGCTCCTCGTTCCTGCTGCGCCTCTGGTCTTTGCAAGGCTCCAGTTGCGGGTGGTGGGCGCCTCACACCTGTTAATGACCTCAGTGTCAGCCACGCCCCAGCTCCTCCTCCCGTGGCTGGGAACAGCTCTGAGTGTGGCTCAATATGCATCCAACAGCCTGTGCATGTATCCCCCCTGTGTCTGCCCACCCTGAGGCCAGGTGCCTTAAGGCTTTCAAAAGTGGCGGGTGTCTCCCTTGCTTTAGGGTACAGCTGAGGTGATGGCCAGCTGTGGTGGGGGTACTGACTCTCCAGCCTCCTCCAATCCCCTATATCCCATTGGAAGGTGTGTCCCTGGGGAAGCTTCTCTGAACAGCACCGTAGCCTTTTGGGTCATTGTCCCCCTCCCACAGATGAGATGGACACTGACCCCAGGCCCTAGGCAAACAAACAGGGAGAGCTTGACACCTGTCAGATGCAGGTTTTCCTCCCACACCTGCACACTGGGGTCCCAGTCTGTAACATTCACATACCCAGCTCAGTCATAGCCACATTCCATTCAGAATGGAATATTCCATCAGAGAGGAAGGGTGCCCAAAAAGCTGACATCTGGACCTGAAACATCTTACTTTAGCAGCAGAACCTCTCAGTACCCAAAAGGTCACCAAGCTGAGAAACCCCTAGGCTCTGAGGCCTCCCTGCAGAAACACCAGGCTTGGAGAAGGTGCCCCGGGCCCTGAGGCCTCCTTCTTAGCCAGCGAGAGATAGAATCCAGCTTCCTGCATAGAGCAGGGAGAAGAGCTCCAAATAGGACCTGACAGGAAAGACATTGGGCTCCCTTGTCCCCATTTCCCTGGCTCTCGGACTGCACCCCACGAGCGGTTCTGTGTGTTGGGATGGTGGGCATCCACTCAGAGAGGACTTGAGGCTCCATCCGCTACAGAACAGGTTCTCCCCAGGTGCTTCCTCCACCACCCTCAGCCACTAGGGATCCTGCTTGGGACAGACCCAGGCTCAGCCTGGTGTCTGCGCATTCTTGGTCCATCCGTGCCAGCTCTGAGCTCTCGTAGCTCCCAGAAGGCGGCTTTGTCATGTGCTGCTGTGGGTACAGCAGGCTAGAGAAGCTGATCCTGGCAGGGGAGCAGCTGGGACCTGTCCCAGATGGGCAGCCCTGCCTGGGGCCAGTCCCTAGTACATTCCTCTAATTTGAAGTAGGACAAAAACTTAAGGGTTAAGCAGATTTCTTTCAGGAGAGATTTGCCTGAACCAAAGTGGTCCATCCAGGACAGAGAGCACGTTCTTGCCTTGTCAAGCCCCTGTCTGTGAGTCAGTCCATCGGTCCATCTGTTGTGTACTGGTGAGAGATGCAGGCTGCTTGCTCAGGTGTGAGGATGGGGCCATCAGGCTGTCTGACCCCAACCAGAGACACCACCTTAGAGGGGCAAGGGACTTGTTCAGAGGCAGCCAGTACTGGGCCGAGGGCAGACCTGAATTCCCTCTGCAGATTGGGTCCTCCAGGATTCATTTATCTGCCCCATGGGCTCTTGCCTCCTCCGTGGTCCAGAGAGCATCTCTTCTGGACACAGTGGGTATTGGGAGCACCACCCAGCGTCAAGCAGACATAGTGGGCCTCATGCAGCGGGGATTGTGCTTGTGTGCTTAGGCCTCCCTGCTTAATTCTGAGCAGACCTTTTTAACAAACCTTCATGGCCTCCTCACAAGAGAAACCATGGCCTGGGGTCCCCTGTGCATGCTGGCCCTTTCTGAGGCCAAGGCCACAGGGACAGGAATAGGTGCCCCAGAATAAACCTGCCACCTCCTTCATGGGCAAACCCAGCCAAAACCTTCAGCCCCCTTCTCTAAACCTGAAGCTGGTGATTTGATTTTTAAGTCATCTCTGGAAACAGGTCATTCATTCCCAGGACTCCCTGCCGACTGGGGTAACTATTTGTCCCTTTCTGCTCTCAGCCCACTAACCACCTGGAGCAACCAGTGGGTTTTTGGCCAAGCTCTGATTGGGATGGAGGCCTTAGACTCACTCCTTGGCCATTGTCAGAGCACTTGGGGGCCCTTCTAGAACAGAGAGCTCAGAGGGAGGGTTCCAGGGCCTTTGGTCTGTGGAGATATTTAAGAGGATGCACATTAGACATCAACTTGGGACACCTGGGAATGACCATGGTGCAGCGGCTTCCATGAGCCACCCTGTCTTGCAGGAGAGACACTCGGGGTCCTGGCTGGGTATGTGTCTCTCCAGGCCAGGTGTTTCGGACACAGCCTGGTCACACACTAGCTGTCCCTCTCTTCCCTCCCACAGCCTGTCAGGCTCTGTCCCACCATCCTTGGAAGTATCTCCAGAGTAGGCAGGGGCTCCGAGCTTTCTGCTGTGTCTACCACATCTGAGGTCCTGTCCTCATGCTCCTTTCCCAGAAACAGCCCCACCCTCCTGTCCTGGCCAGCCTTGAACAAGCAGTAATGCAGCTACATGCCCACCGTGGGCCCTGGGGTCTCAATAGCAGGCAGCCAGGGGTCAACAGGTAGGAGGGGGCTTTCCAAGTGCTCGTCCTGTGTTTCCGCCCATCCTGTCCACATGTGTGTGGTCTGCCAACCTGTCCCATATTTTCCCCAGGAGCCCAACAGAGGTCACCAAGTGCTGGTCCCATCCTGAACATTTAAGGAACCTCGTGCCTTGGCCCCAGTTACACACTTTCCTCTGGGGCCTGTCAGGTGGGGTTCCCGATGCCCATGTCCCCTACCCCCTTGTCTTCTGTCTCACAGAAAGGAGGTCGCCCACACCTGTGCTCAAAGAGAGGAGATGAGGTCGGTGCTCTGGGAGATGTCAGGGTGCAGAGGTCCCCCACCCCAGGAGCAGGCTGTGGAAAGAAGCAGGCATCCTGAGATGGGGGAGCGCCATCTAGAGTTAAATGGGAGAGTGGGCCCTCCTGGGAGTCCTGGAATAGCTGTCGTAAGCCTCCCTTCTCTTGAGCATCCTCCACTAGGTCTCAGGGCCTCCCTATAGGCTCAACCAGCCTATGGGAGGCCCCCCACAGCAGCCCCCATCCCCGCCCGGTCTTGGGGATCATGATGACAGCAGGCCTCTCTTCTGTCTGCAGCACTCTTCCAACCTGGGCAGCGTGTTTGGGGACTCGTACTATGAGCAGCAGATGGCAGCCAGGCAGGCCAATGCTCTGTCCCACCAGGTGAGCGGGCGCCCGGGCCACAGCGCCCCCAGCAAGTGCTTGCCCGGTCCCCGCCCGCCCTCAGGCATGAGCTCCGCTCCTGGTCCCTCCTGCCTCCAGGCGGTGGAGCATGGGGCTGCCTTTGCCTCCCCTTGCGTCTGCACCTGGTGTGGCAGTGAATGCCAGCAGAGATTGGCAGTGGCTGTCACAGTGGCACTCGGCGTGGTCCATGCATGTGGGTCTGTGGGAGGTCAAGCTGGCTTTGTGTGGAGGCCGGGATCAGGCATGCAGGCACAGGAGGGGTTGGCCACTGCCTAGAGCTGGTCACTCACCCATCCATTCACTTATCCATCCATCCATTTATTCATCCATCCAGCAAGCCCTGAGGGTTAGGAGAGAGCAGTGCCCCGGAGCAGAGGGACCCACCTGGGCAGCCCCTGAGGGTGGGCCTGAGCACAGCACCAGGCGTCCTGGAGAAGGCGTGGGCGTGGCGGCCTCAGGCAGGCCAGCCCACAGCACTCAGTGCTCATGCTCAGCGGCCAGCCTCACACCCTGTGTCCCCTCCCAGCTGGAGCAGTTCAACATGATGGAGACCGCCATCAGCTCCAGCAGTCTGTACAGCCCAGGCTCTACACTCAACTACTCGCAGGCGGCCATGATGGGCCTGACAGGCAGCCACGGGAGCCTGCCAGACACACAGCAGCTGGGCTATCCCAGCCACAGCAGCATCCCCAACATCATCCTCACAGGTGAGGCCCCCTGCATGGCATCCTGGGCAGGGGTCTCAGTCCTGCTCCCCTGCAGAGCCCAGCAGCTGCCATAGGCCTCAACCCTGCAGGAGATGGAACCCCCTGCCCTGCAGGGTGAGTCCTGACATGACTGAGGTGTCCCTGCCTTTGGTGTGGTCCCAAGGAGGCCAGACCCCCCTCCTCGCCAGAACCTTGACTCACTGCTGAGTTGTAGACAGGCTAGGCAGACACACACTTGGACCCTACACCAGGGATACAGTGCCCTGTGCTCAGAGCCAGAATGAGACAGCCAGTCACTCACCCAGTCTCATGCCTGCCACCCAGATTCCTGAATCCTGTTAGCTGCGTGTGTTGGGGATGTAGGTGACCGGGGCAGGGGGTAAGCAGGGTACTTTTGTGCAGCCAACAGACATGTAACCGCTTGCGCATGCTGCAGTGTTTCAAGTGGCCTGAGCACAGTGTCCAGGCCCATGGGGACATGCACAGCATGTGTGAGGAAGTCCTGCTCCATGTAATACAGAGCCCAGACCTCTGAAACCCTTCCAACCCCTCACCCTGCCTTCCCCCTAAAGGTTCTGTGTTTTACTAAAGAAGGAAGCGGTTCCCTTACAAGCCAGGGCTATTGTGGGATTGAGGGGGTCACCCCCCGGCGTTCCCCACTCACATCTCCAGGATGGAGGGGGTCTATGCCCTGATCCCCTCAAGGCCTGGACCCCAAGTGCAGACACAGTACTTCTTCCACAACCTGAGGTGCCTCAGATGTCTGAGGAGGACCAGGTGCCCATGAGGGCCCCAAGAGTCCAGAAAGATAGAGACTTTCATACTGGTTCTTAGATGCTGAAACTGAGGCTCAGGAACACCACACAAGTAGAAGAGGGAGTCCAGGTTTGAACCTAGGTCTCTGTAGAGGACTTCCTCCAAGCCAAAGGGAGGTACCCCGGTGCACACGCCCCAGCCTGCTTCTCTGACATGATGTCTGGGGCAGGATCTTTCCCTGGGTGGGGCCATCCTGTGCACTGTGGACTGTTGAGCAGCGTCCTTGGTCTCCACCCATGTGATGTCAGTAGTGTGTCCTTCCCCAGTCATGACAACTAAAAACACCCCCAGACATTGCCAGTATCCCCTGGAAGGCAAGTCCCCAGTGAGCATTCCCGAGGTGGCCCAAGCCCTCTTCCCTGAGCATGGGGGTGGGAAACCCGAAGTGAACTGACTTTTGTGTCCCCCCCACCCTCCAGTGACAGGAGAGTCCCCTCCCAGCCTCTCTAAAGAACTGACCAGCACGCTGGCCGGGGTTGGCGATGTCAGCTTCGACTCTGACAGCCAATTCCCCCTGGATGAACTCAAGATTGACCCCCTGACCCTGGACGGACTGCACATGCTCAACGACCCTGACATGGTCCTGGCCGACCCAGCCACCGAGGACACCTTCCGGATGGACCGTCTGTGAGTGCAGTCCCAGCACTCCGTCGCCCAGCCCCGGCTCCGTCACCCCGCCGGTCAGTGGTCCCAACGGAGTCTCCCTGAGCCCAGGGACTGCACACACTGTCCCTGCAAACGGCCGAGCTTGTGATTCTGAGCTTGCAATGCCGCCAAGCACCCCCGCCCCCCCTCGGCTGCCCATCTCCTGTGGGAGGCTGTGAATTGCCTCCTTGGACTTCCCCCTGCGCGCACTCTTTTCTCCTCCCACCCCAGGCCATGAGCCATCAGCTCCTGTAAGATGCAGAAAGTGTGTTGGGCAGGGCCACAGGCCTGGGGGCACCAGGGTCTGGTCCGCACTGTGGTGGGCGGATGTGCATTTCCGACTGTTGTCCAGCTCTCACTGCCTTCCTTTGTCCCGGGTCCCCCCACACACACCTGCCATCCCCAGGTCATGGTTAGGGAGAGAGTCAGCCCCACCCAACCTGCCAAAGGGAGAGGGCTCCAGAGAGAGGGGTAGACCCAGCGCAAAATAAACACTATTTTGATTGCTGTCTTTTATATTTCTGAACGTACAGAAGGCTAGAGCCCTTCCCATGGGGGGTGGATACAAAGGTGTAAACTGAGCAGCTAGATCTTCCCAGCCCCCTCCTGCCTCACCTACCCCCACGCCAGGTCCCCCTGGGGCTGCCTCTGCCAGGAAGCCCCTGGCCAGGGTGACAGCCTACCAGGAAGCACATGTGGAGTTGGGTCATTTCGGCAGGGGGCGGGGGCAGGGGATTTAGGACTTGTTTTCATCTTTCCTTCTCTATACAGTAGTCACTGTTCCTGTTATGTACAGATGGGTGGGAAGGGGGTGGCCAGGGCATTTTTGTTGCATTTTTTGTTGTTTCTTTTGGTGTGTTATTTCTGTTTTGGCTGTAGACAAGTAGCTGACTCCTTCAAACCAACACTTGCCTGAAAGCATCTTTTTATTCCAGAAATCCTACGTTATACGTTTTTTTAGAGCTGATTAGAAGCAGTGTCCTATCTGAGCTGCGACCCTGGCCTCAGTAGTTTCACGTCAAGTTACTTCAAAACAGAAGGGCTGAGTGGCCGCGCGGCCCAATGAGGGCAAGTTGTGCCAGGCAGGGGACTCTGGCAGAAGCTGGGGTGGCTGGAAATGCCTCCCCTTCCGGCCACGGAACAGACTCCTGGAAAGGAGCCACTGCTTTTAGTAAGGATCTCAAGAAGATCTGGCCCCGCCCGACCCTCCTGAAGGTGCCTGCCAGTACTTGGGGACGGCGCGTGCCAGACCCGGAGGCTGGCAGCAGCTGCGGCCCCTCTGCTCCCAGGCACCCCAGACGAGGTGGTCTCTCGCCCCACCCTGAGAACAGTGATATTCATCCCCTCCGGCCCCCTCTTTTGTAACTCTTCCTGGTAGGGCTGGTTTGGAGGCAAAGAACAGTGTACTTTTAGGGGTCGGTTTCTGGGTGCTTGCTTCTCAAAGCACCTCGGGAGGCAGAGGTGACCCTCCCTCTGCCCTCCAGGCCCTTTGACGGCGTGGCGGGCTGGCTGGCTTTTCTGTCTGCTGCTTTAGCAGGAGCCTCCGTTTCAGTCCCCAGGTTGCATCTTGACTTGCTCCTCCACCTGCAGTTGGGCTGACACTTCTGCTGGGTGTGTTTCTCTGTGGTGTTGCGGCCACCCTCCTGCCTGGGCCAAGCGAGCCCTCCCCTCTGTGTACGGGAACTGGATCTGACTCTAGCGATTGTCCTTTCCTCCCGCTCCTTGGCCAGGCAGTTAGCACGCATCCAAGCAGCTGGGCGGCCACATGCGTGGGAAGTCCCCCCTCTTTGATCACTTGGCCCTGCCACTATTGTCTGGGCTGAGGGAGCATCTCGTCAGTCCGTCCAGGTCCAGGGCCTGTCCTCTTGCCATGGTGGGGACTGGGGACAGAGATGGGGACTTTTTTTTTAAGAACATCTACATGTACATAAAAGAGTTTGGTTACCATTAGACTTGTATGTAGAACTTTTTAAAAATGGCCTTAACAAAATACAAGCAACCTTCCTGGATGCAAATTTTCAAACAAGGCATGGGGGACCCAGTGAGGGAGCCTTGTCAGCCCACGCTTCCCATCTGTTCAGTGCCAGATCTGGGTGCAGATGGACAGGAGAGACCTGTGGCCTGGAGCACCAATGACATCATGTCAACACGGGGCCTCTGCCCGGGAGAGGTGTAGGTGCGGAGCTGTCCTTGGCAGAGGGAAGGGGGCACCGGGAGCTAGCGGCCAGGCATCCCCATGTCTTCCTGGGCCTTGGGAGGCCTCTTGGGGTCTGTAACAGGGAATTTTGTTTTTTATTAAATATTACTTCTCTACTAAATATTCTTGAGTTGCCAAGACTTTCCGAGTCAAGACAGTGTAAGGGAATCAGTCCTTTGACTTGTGATGTGAAAAATACTGTGATTTCAGGCAAGCTGCGCCGTGAGGGGCCGGCCTGGGCCTGTATCCTGTATATAGACCTGCACCCGCGTCCTGCTCACGAGCTCAGGGCAAGCCTGGACACTGGGTCCGCACGGATTCAGAGGTCAGCCAGGCTGTCCCCCACCACACCCACACTGAGTGCCCCCAGCTTTGGCTGAGCCACGTCAGCTGTGCAGACCTTTCCCCCGGGAGCTTGAGATGCCCGGCCTGTCCCCATCTGCCTCAGTTTACCCTCTGCCCTTCAAATCGAGGGCGGTAAGTGTGCTCCCCCACATGGCTTGTGGTCTGAGGACGGAGCCCAGGGTCAGCGCCTTTCTGTGTCCTCCAGAGAAGAGGGTTGTGCCCAGGGCTGACTGGAGGAGAAGGCGGGATCTCGCTGGGATCACATCCCCCATCACAGGTGCCCGTGCTGACCTGCCCCTCCATGCCCTTACAGGGGGAAGACAGGCAGCGCTGTTTGGAGTGTCCTGCAGCCCCCTTCCCTTGACACTTCTGGGCAGGAAGGGTGAGTGCCAGCCTCTTGGGGCAGGAGGACCTGAGACCCTCAGTGGAAAGCTCAGGGGGTAGGTCAGCCCATCAGCAAAATTTGGGAACCCACAGCCAACAACATCCAAAAACGGGCGAGGCTCCGCTGCAGACACAAGTCACAGCAGAAGCAGCCCTGACGGGTGGGTCCAGCTCCAGCACTGTGGTTCCCAGGGCTCCCGGGGACCGGCCTGTGAGGGCAGGGATGTGTGCTTCTGACCCTTTCCCCAGCGATGCCTCTCTGTGCTATTATCTGCTCATGGGTTTTCATGAGCGGAAGGAGGGTTCTGAGTGGTTAGTGTGTTGATTTGATTTTCATCTGGAAGGATATCCCAGTGGGGTGGTCCGTTGTGAGACCCATGCGTCACAGTGGGGCGGGTAAGATCACTTCCGTCAAATGAGATGCTGCATGCAGGGCAGGGGGCCCCACGTCCATTCATGCGTCCTGCCAGAGGCAGATGTCCGGTATGGGGATCCCCCGACCCTGTCTGTTGATGTCCTGGGTCTGATGAGTGCCCCTGAGTGACTTCTGCTGAGGGGCCTCAGGGACCCTGAGCTGGTTCATAACCAAACATCCTTCCAAAGCCCCTCCACCGAGCTCAGCTTTCTGCATCTCCACAGGAGGCCCTCCACCCCTGTGTGGACTGTGTGTGAGCTCTGGAGCCGCTGGGCGCTGACAGAGCAGCCCCTGGGTTCTAATGAACCACAGTGTAGGACGAAGGTACGGGGGCCACAAGACCCAGGGTCCTGGGCACCCTGGGCCTGGCCCATCGCTCCTGCACGTGGCGTTCGGGTGGGGGGGGTTTCTGGCGACCAGAGCCCTCCCCACGTGGCCTGCAGAGCTGGGGGAGGACTCGGTGCCTTGCCTACCCTGGGAGGCTTGCCTGGAGTAAGTCGGCAGCTGGGCCTGTTTCTATGCCCATTCTCCGTGGACCCCGGGCCTCCACCTGCTAGGGTCTCGCAGCAGAGATGTGACTAGGGGCCCCTGAGACAGTCCTGCAGGGGTGCTGGCTGAGTCGGGCTCAGGCCCCTCGTTCCCTCCTCATGTCGCAGGCAACTGGCCACTCCCAAGAAGAGGGAGGTAGGGTGACCTGCACCCCCGGGGCTGGACACTGGGTTACTCCAGAGGGCATGGAGAGCAGAAACAAAACCCTTGTGACAAGGGTCTAGATTTCTCTCCTGTCACTGGCTCAGACCCACGGATCTCAAGGCCCCTCCCAGTCAGAGCGAGGGACGGGTTGGACTTAGGTTGATGCTGGCGGCAGATTGGTCCCTCTGCCTTCCACACCCCCAGCCAGTCCACAACAGCCCATCCCAAGGAGCCAGGGACACGTGGCATGTGCGGGGGGAGGGGGAGTGTTGCCTCCATCTCGCAGGGTTCTGGAATTTGGGGCAAATGATGCCCAGCCCATCCTAGCCTGTCACTTCTGACCTCTTGCCCACTGGGACAAGGGGACACTGCCATAGCCTCCCCCACAACGCCCCGGGAGGGTGGGCTGTGGCAGCCGAGGCCCATTGCCCCTCACCTGCCCCCCCAGGAAACTGCCCCCAAGGGGCTGGGTGGCACTTCTAATATATGCAAACCCATCAGTCTGAGCCCTCCCCCACCTGTGTCCCTCTGTCGCCAGGCTGGCTCTGCCCCCCCAGCATGTACACTCTGCCGTGGATGTCCCATGGGCCGTGCGTGTGGGTGCCCGTGGCGGGCTGGGGCGGGCGGCTCAGGGTGCACTCAGCCGGCCCCTGCCTGTCCTCTGGCGTGGACGCTTTTGTCTTTGTACCTTTGCATCCTTTGTAATGAAACCTAATAAAAACCCAATGTTTTCGTCTCTGCCTCCTCCCCTTTTTTCCTGCTCTTTCTCCACCCCAGAGATGAAACATGGGTGTCACAGGAACACCTGGTGGGAGCCACACAAACGCACGTAGGAATATGGACCCCCAGGCCTGCTCCCCTCGCCACCTCCCCCTACCAGCCAGCTACGTGGCCCTGCGTGTTGGAAGGGGAAGGGCCCCCCTCAGGACCCCGCCGCGGGCACTCCAGGGGTGGAGGGCCGTAGCAGCAGGTCTGGGGCCTCCTGAGTCAGCGCTGGACATGCCCAGTCCGTTGTGGGGGTGAAGTCAGCTCCAGGCCCCGCTCTCCGAGGCCGGACCCTGCCACTGCCCCAGAGCAGAGACCACAGCTGCCGTCCTGCCAAACACACTTTATTTTGTCCTCTCTGATCTCCTCCCTCCCCCAGGCTGGCTGCCCCTTGGTGCTTCAGCCCTGAGGGTGGCCCTCATCTGTTGGCAGGCCCCACCCGTCCCTAGGCCTGCAGCAGCGTCTGGGTCTCATAGTCCTCCGGGATGGTGTCTGTGGAGGGAAAGAGGGCAGGAGGGTGAGAAAGGCTGAGGCCGGCAGGGCAGACCCCACGCTCCCCGGGAGGCCTTCCCCTCGCCCCCTCCCCTTACTCCCTCCTCTCACCGTTACAGCGGTAGCGCAGGTTGGCCCAGATGATGTTCTCCTGAGAGAAGCAGAAGACACCTAGGCGGCCACCCCGCATGGTCGTGTCCAAGACCACGTTGCTGTCAGCCACCAGCTCAGGGCCCTCATAGAACCGTACTCTGTGGGGAGCAGGGGACAATGAGGCATCCTGCCCTGACAGATGGGTCCCCTCCTCTCTCTGAGTGGGGGCCACAGATCCCTCCTGTCTGGCCAATACTCAGGGCAGGTAGGGCTCCTGACCTGTGCCTCAGTTTCTCTGTGTGAGAGAGTAGCTATCCAGGGTCCTGCACACAGTAGGTGCTAACTAAGCAGAGTGCCTGGACTTCCTGCACAGAGCAGGGGTTGAGAAACGGGAAGTGGGGGAGGCCTCACCTTCTAGCTGAGGCCCCGCTGTGTGCTGGGTCCTAGCAGGGCTGTTGTGCCCTGGGGCCAGTCTGTTAACTCTAGCTGCCCACATTGCTCCTGCTTTACAGGCAAGGGGACCGAGGTCCTCAGAACCTCTCTCCTGGGAGCGGGGGTGGAGAAGGGACTCAGTCCCTTGGCAGGGCAGGGTCCCCACCTGATATAGCCCACTTGGGGCCGGTGCTGCAGGAACCAGCGATAGGATGTCTTGTCCTTCCAGCCCACGTTGCGGGGGTCCTTCCAGAGCAGCCGCACCTGTGACGCTGTGTCCCCCGTGTGCCACAGCGCATTCCGCAGGTGCTCCCCAGGGCCCGTGGAGGACTTCACAGCCTGACATGCCCGGAGACAAGGCACAGGGTCAGAGGCTGCGCAGGCCACTGGAGCCCCCTACAGCCCTGGCGGTTGCATCATGTCATGGAAGAATAATGGGGGTTTTGGGGGGCCTGGATGGGAAACCCACAAGGAAGTCTTCCTGGGGAAGATTTCTAGGTAGGTCATGGGGGGCAGCAGAGCTCGGGGGTCTCATGAGAGGATTTGGGGGCCTCTGAATAGATTGGGAGTCTGGGAAGCTTTGGGGGTCTGCAGGAGGATTTAGTGACCTGTAGAAAGTTTTGGGTGTCTATGGGATAAACTGGGGTCTAGGGGACTTGAGAAATTTGCTGGGAAGTTTGTGTGACATAGTCTGGGGGTTCTACAAAAGGATTTGGAACCTGAGGAAAAGCTTCGGGACCTGTGAAAGGGTTTCAGGGCCCAAAAGATGGTTGGGGGACCCTGGACAGGGGTTGGAGGGCCTGTGGGAGAACCTGGGAGGATTCGGGGCCTGTGGGAGCCCCGAGGAAAGCTGGAAGTGGGCAGGAAGAATCTGAGGTCTATGGAATGATACTGGGGGACTGTGAAGGCTTTGGAGGTCTGTAGAGGGCATGGGACTAGAGGTCAGGTACCCCCAGCCCCACCACACCACCCCCCAACACCGTACACACACCTTGAGCTGGATGCCAGGTTCAGCCACAGCACGGAAGGGGTTAGCCTGCCAGTATGTCTGCTCCATCTGCTTCCACATGACCACATAGAAGCTTGAGCTGTCCTGGTAGCCAAAAATGAAGCCAGCGTAGTCATCGTCTGTGGCAGTGTTCACGTGGAATGTGCCTTCAAAGTCCACACCATTGAAAGCCGTGTAACCTGGGGAAGTAGGAGACCAGTGGGGTCCTGAACACCACAGAACCACCCCCTTCAGGGTCCAGCTTGCCCCCTAAGCCCAGATTTCCCTCTCCCCCTAAATTTAGGGTCTCTGCATCCCCACCCCCTAAATTTAGACATAGCCATGACCCTGAACTCTCAACCTGCCTTTAGCCACCGTGCCCCAGCCCAGACCCAACCTGGCCTTGCCCCACCCTCACTCTGGCCTTGGCCCTGAGAAGCTCCCTGCAGAGCCTTCCCCTTCTCCATGTCTCACCCACAGCCAGGCCAGGGTCACTGTTCATCGTCTGCACGATCTCCATCCCCTAAGGAGGTCAAAGGAAGAAGGGCCTCAGGTTGGCCACGGGGCCCTCGGATTTCCAGCCCCTAGGTTAGGACCCTAAGGGAGAGTCCTGAGCTCCCCCCACCTTCTGCTGGTCCGTGACCCCACCTGGTTGAGCACCACCCAGTTGGGGTCTATTTGTGCATCACCCTCGGGGTCCAGCACCACGGTCTGGAAGGCTCGAAAATCAGTGAGGGTGACCTCGGCATTCTCCGGACACACATCGATCTTGTCCACCACCTTGTCGGCGTCGAAGTCACCCTGGCACGCATCACCTACGCCATCACCTGAGAGGTGGTGGGAGACCCTGGGGCGGTGAGGTCAGTGCCAAGTGCCCACTCCATGCTTGGCCCCCTCACACCTCCCACTGGCCCCACCATGCCCACTCCAAAACCCGCCCCAGGGGCTCTGCACCTCCTGTCCCTACCGCAGGCCCCACCCCCTGCCTTACGATCTGAGTCTGCCTGGCCTGGGTTGGGTACCAGGCGGCAGTTGTCCCGACTGTCAGGGACCCCATCGTTGTCATCGTCGTCATCACAGGCGTCACCCTGTCCATCGTGGTCTGAGTCCTGCTGGGAGCTGTTGGGCACTGTGGGGCAGTTGTCCCTAGAGTCCTGGTGCCCATCCCCATCTCTAGAGTGGGTGAGTGGGGCAGAGAGGACAATGAGAAGCCCAGAGGGCCCAGTCAGGGGCCACCCACCCTGAACTCCCAACCCCCATCGCAGAAGGCCTCCTTACTTGTCTTGGTCGCTGTCACAAGCATCTCCCACAAAGTCGTGGTCCACATCCCCCTAGGAAGGTGCAGGGGTCCACAATCAGGGCAGAGGATCTCAAAAGCCTCCAACCCATCCCGAGTTCCAGAGCAAAGTGACACCCCTCAGGCTGCTTTGAATGGGCTGCAGTCACGTTAGCACAGCCTGGGGCTCATGCCCAGGGTCCGACCCAGCTGACCTGCCCTCACCTGGTCTGGGTTGTTCTTCTGGGGACAGTTATCACAGACATCTCCTACACCATCACCGTCGCTGTCCTTCTGGTCTGAGTTGGGCACCCTGGGGCAGTTGTCCACCGCATTTTTGATCCCTTCAGGAAGTCGGGGAACCAGACAGGACCGCGTGATCAGGCAGGGCCGGGCTGACTTCAGCAGGGCAAGTGCAAGCCTGGGCCAGAGTCCTGCCCTGCCCTAGCTCCCAATTACCACAGAGCAAAACCCAAGTACTCACAGTGACTTCATGAATAGATGGCCAGGTAGGGGACTGGCCCACCTCTTGCCCTGTGAATGCACTCACCTGAGCTTCTATGTCCCAGGTGTAAAAAGGACACCTCCCTGACCCTAAACCCTAGACCGTGTTGTGCTTTTCCTCCCTGCAGCATATGAAATAGCGGGCATTTTTCTGCTCCCCCGAGCAGGGTCTATGGTTCAGGGTGCCCGAGTTAAGCTCAAACCCTCAGCTTCTGAACCCCGTCCCCTGTCCAGCCCCGACCCTCGATGCCTCCCGCACCACACATCAGCCCTCGCCCCTGCCCCCACCGCGCTCACTGTCGCCGTCGATGTCGTCGTCGCAAGCGTCGCCTCTGCCGTCCTGGTCTGTGTCCTTCTGGTCTTCGTTCTTTTGGGTTTTGCAGTTGTCGCACGCATCTCCCCACTTGTCGTTGTCCGAATTGCGCTGGTCTGGGTTCCGTACCAGCGGGCAGTTGTCCTGAGGGACAGGACCGGTTAAGGGAGGAAAAGGAGTCAAGCCAAGTGGGGAAAATGTCACATCCAAGATTAGCCCACCCCCGAGGCCCCGCCTCCTCCACAGGGAGCCCCTCTTTCCTCCAGGACCCGCGAGTCCCGCCCTGGAGGCCAGGGCCCTAGACAAAGCCCCGCCCCCAGCTCGCCTAGGCCCCGCCTTGGCCTCACCTCCTCGTTGGGAATCCCGTCCCCGTCGGCATCAGGGTCACAGGCGTCTCCGATGCCATCGCGATCTACGTCCTCCTGCCCTGAGTTGGGCACTGTCACGCAGTTGTCCTAGGAGCCGCAAAGACAGGCCTGAAGGGCGTGGCTTTGTAGCCCCGCCCATCCAGCGACGAGCCACGCCCCCGCTCGCGGGCACCCGCACCAGACCACGCCCCTCGTCCCCGGCCACCTTGCGGCAGTGGCGCTCTGAGCAGCGCAGCTTCTCATCGGGGAAGCCGTCCAGGTCCGTGTCTCGGCCACAGAGGAGCCCGTTGCCAGCCCAGCCGATGGCACACTGCGGGTGAGGGGTGAGTGGATGCTCCGGCGACGCCGACCCCTACCTCCCCACCCCACACCCTTCCCCGCGTGGCTGCACTCACCACACACGACCGCGAGCCGTCGCGCTCCAGGACGCAGTCGGCCTTCTCGTGGCACGTGCTGGGCGTGCCGTCAGGGCAGAAGCGCTGCGCTCC